CAGTTCTTCCCTGTTGTACCGAATATCAACACTTTTCAAATTATCTCATCGAAGTTAGAAGTTCAAATATTGTGACAATTAATTTTGTAGGGTGCCACAAGTTTGTTAAAATTTCCAAAGGGTGCCGCGACTAAAAAAAGGTTGGGAAACACTGGGCTAGAGTACTGTCAATCTGACGATGCCTGTATGCCACTAGATCAGAGAGCTGTCAATTGCTGCCTGATTGTTGCATGCAAAGTTTGCATTTGGAGCGCTCAACAACGCCGTTAGATCAGTGGGCTCTGTCAGTGCTTTGGCAAGGTAACACTTTTTTTTGCCACGCAATAAAGCTAAGTTCAAAGGCCAATTTAAAATATTGGTACAGTAAATAAAGTGCACAAAATCAGTATTTTGTTTAGGCAGTATTTGTGGCACTTTTGTGGCACATTTGTCCAAATATTTGTGGCCCATTTGTCCAAAAGGTGTGCGTTTTTTGCGCCAATGCATTGTTAAAGTATCAGCATGTCATGTAATATTCCCAAATAAACTTTAACATCCAATTAAAAAATTAGATTAGATTAGATTAGATTCAACTTTATTGTCATTGCACATGTAAGGTACAATATACAGATACTATGGACATAATTTACAGATTTTTAAATACTATCAGCATGATATACAGATCGGTGTACTATGAACATATGAACATACTGGATTATGTAATAAGTTTATGTACACTATAAGCAGAAAAGTATGAACATATGAACATCATTTACAAATGAATATGTTAGCGATACATTAAGCTGTACAAAACACAAGTGCAATGGACATTTAAAAAAGTGCATAGAAAATATTCCAGTGTGCAAATGGATCATTCAGTATTCTGGATGTACAGACAGTAGTGCAAGTAATAACAAGTGTAACAGTTTTTTTTTTTTGGTAAACCAGATGTAGTGATGAGTAGGGGTGAGGAGTGTGAGTGTGGTGTGTGGGGGGGAGTCAGCGGGCAGAATTCAGTAAGGAGACAGCTGTAGGGAAAAAGCTGTTCCTAAGTCTG